ACCCTCAGAAAGTGGGTGGGTGTTACTGATGCCTGGCCGCGGATGCTTTTGTTGGCAAACAGGCAGCAGCCGTCTGTCTCCTCTCCACGGAAGACGAGCCTGCCACTGGGCCCTAACACTCCTTTCTCTTGCTGGTGACGGTATTAGCCATGCATCATGGCTTATTTTGAAAGCAGCGGTTCTCAATGAGGGGTGATTTTGTCCCTCACTCTTGTCCCACCCAGGGGATATTTTCCAACATCTGGAGACATTTTTTATTGCCACGGCTGATGATAAGGGAAATGCTACTGACAGCTAATGGGCAGAAGCCAGGGCTGCTGTGAACCATCCTACAATGCATGGGGCAACCCCCAAAACAAAGAATTATTCACTCTCAAATGTCATTCATGCCCAGGTTGAGAACTCCTGCTTTTTTTTTTTTTTTTTTTAGTAACCCTGTCTTAAAGTAATATCTTTTTTTTTTTAGTACAGCCAGTTCATTCATGCATGTATTCATTCAACAAATATTTATTGTTAAGCATAGAAAATATCCAATTAGTCACATCTCTGTGTGTCGGTGGATTCGTTAATTCACTCACATCGTATGTACGTATTGACACCTCCTCTGTGCCAGGCACGGGGGTCTAGAACAACACAGCCTAGTCTTTCCTCACAGAGGGGTTATGTTATAGGGAAGGGAGGCAAGAATCTAAACACGTTGACAAAGAAAAGAACAAGATCATTTCAGCCAGTGAGAGGTACAATGGAGCATATCAAACAGGGTAAGGGGAGAGAGATGCTAGTGGGGTTTGGGGAAGGTTTCTCTGCATAGGTCATATTGAAGCTGTGACATGAATGATGAGAAGGATGGAGATTGGTAAAAATTGGGAGGACGAGTGTCCAACATAGAAGCAGCAACAGGCTTAGAGGCTAAAGACCTGGAAGGCTAGGGGGGCGGGTTCCGGATCAGAAACATGCGCTCAGCTGAAGCTGGGATGGAGGATGTCAGGTGGACAGAGTGAGGATGATGAGATAGGCACGGGTCAGAGGGGGCAGGGTTTATAGCCTTGGGGAAGGCACCTGGACGGCATGTCAGGTGCAGGAGGAAGCCAGGGGAGGATGTTAAGCAAGGTGGAACATGAACTGGCTCAGGTATTGCTAAATTTGCTCTGGCCGCTGGGCAGGTTGCCCTGGACAGGGGCGAGATAGAAGTGAGGGGCCAGGCAGGAGACTCCTTGCAGGAGGGACATCAGTGCTGGGCGTGGAGACAGAAGGAAGCGTGTGGACTCGGCAAGCATTTTTGAGGTAAAGTGCCTGACTTGCTTGCACGTGGCCCATGCCTCAGTCAAGCAAGCTGCCAGCCCTGGTTTTCCCACCTCCAGTGGGTCCCAGTCCTGGGTCCCTTTGCACGGCATCCTCAGTGGACTCGGTCCTTGAGCCAGCCCTGGCAACTCCAGCATGCGTGAAGGCTGGGAATTTGTCTTGCTGCCTTCCATACACCAGCTGTGCCTGGTCAGACCCTTCCTAACCAGGACTGAGCTTCCCCGCTATGAGGCCTCCTGATCTGTAATTTAGCCTTTCCCATTCCTTAGCTGGATTCAGATCTTCCTTGAATATCAGACCTCTGTAGTTGCCTATGACCTTGAACAGCAATTTCAGCTTCTTCCCTGGTGGACAATGCCCTGGGGGCCAGGATGCGGCACCTCCTGACTCTGACCCTATGGCAGCCCCCCATGGTACTTGGAGTGAAATCCAAATTTCCATCTGGCCCTTGCTGAGCTATTCAGACTCTCCTTGCACCATTCCCTCCTTGGCTCACAGCAATCCATCCCTGGAATTCACCACGATCTTTCCTCATCCCTTTGTTTTTGAGGGTCTCTCTGCTTTGAATATTCTTTGCCTACTTCATGTCCCAACTCAAATGACACTTACTCAGAGAAACCTTCCTTCTTTAAAGTCACTCTATAGCATGCAATGTCAATGAGCACGGTATCACCCCAAAGGGGTGAAAATTGGTTCTTGAAAGACTTAAAATAGTATTCTATTTTTTTTTTTTTAAATTAGAGACAGGGTCTTCTTGCTCTGTTGCCCAGGCTGGAGTGCAATTGGCATCATCATAACTCACTGAAGCCTCGAACTGCTGGGCTCAAGCGATCCTCCTGGTTCAGCCTCTCAAACAGCTGGGACTACAGGTATGTGTCAGCATGCCTGGCTAAGTTTTTAATTTTTTTTTTTTTATAGAGACAGGATCTTGCTATATTGCCCAGGCTGGTCTAAAACTCCTGGCTTTGAGCAATCCTCAATATTACTCATTTAATGCATGAAAGCACCAGATATACATTCAGGACATAAATACACACATGCACACATAGACACATACACATATATGATATTAAATTTCATGGGGATGTTGATTAGGCAAAATAATGTCTAAAGAGGCTCCTTATGGGGACAACCATTAAAAAGAGACTGGAAAACACTGCTCTGTAGAAACTAAGTCCCCTGCCTCCACTTACTCACCAAAATACACCCTCATTTATTTTCTTCCATGAACTTACCACAGTTGGCAATTGCCCTGCTTATCTTTGTTGACATCAGTATTTTCTGTCCCTTCCCTGTCCTCTGACCATAAGCTACAATGAAGTCTTGAGATCTTGCCTTTTGTTCACCATTGTATCTCTAGCATCTGCACAGTATTGGGCACATAGTAGTTGTTCAATAAATACTTGGTGATTCACTTACCATTGTGGTCAAAGAGCGATTTCATGTACTCGAACTAGAACTCACTGGACTCCCGCTTGGACTTCAATGCTTGCTGAAATGCTACTGATTTGTTGGGTTCCTTTGGGCACTGAGTTCAAGCATAGGTCCCCTTCTCTGCCCCATGGGCAAGGTCCTCTTCTCAGCCCCGGTCTTGACTATTCCCAGTTTCCTCTCTTCCTCAACCCTTGAGAACCGAGGAACCATGTAGCCCAACCCTGCCCTTTTCCACTGAGATGCCACACTGAGTACCGTATGGATGTCTTAACTCATTACAAACGTTTTCAAGAAAATTATAGCAATAGGCAAGGTCTATTAGCAGTGACACAGCAGAAAGCATGCACGATGATCAGATTTGATTTAGCAATAAATTGAGTTATGGTGAGCGTCTGCAATAGAAAAAAGGCTGGAAGGAAGCAAACCAAAACGTTCTTGATGTTATTCTTCCCTGGAATGTGCACTGGCTGTTTATTTTCTTCTTATGTTTTTGGTTAATTTAGGAATTTCTGTACTGTGTATGCCTTTATTTTTTTCACAAGAAACGAGGTTTTTTTGGTAGTTGGGGTTTTAAGACCATCCATGACACTGCGGTATTACAGAGACATATGTAATATAGGCACATTCCTGGTCCATAGATCCAGGACCAGTTGTATTTGATTACATAGTGACCCCCCAAAAGAGCCTTTTTTGGGAGGATTTCTGTTTTTAGAGAAACCATTGGATTTGAGCCACCTTAGTCCATTAGGCGAATAGCAACAGCCCTCTTGCCAGAAGCACTGCCTGCTATCTGTCCCATAGATCTTAGTACTAGTTAGATTTTTTAAAGTTGTCTGTGACTCCCCAAAACACAAAAAAGTACTCCTACCATAAGGCATCTGACTCATGCAAAATACAAGGCAAACAAACAAAAAACCTTTTCTGCGTATCTTAAAATGAGGGCTTTATTGTTCTGCCATGCCAAGGGTTACAAAATTCTGACTTAGAAAATTTGTTTTTCATGAAATGCCTCTCTTTTTTTGAGACAGAGTCTCATTTTGTTGCCCAGGCTAGAGTAAGCGCCATGGCATCAGCCTAGCTCACAGCAACCTCAAACTCCTGGGCTCAAGCAATCCTCCTGCTTCAGCCTCCCGAGTAGCTGGGACCACAGGCATGCACCACCATGCCCAGCTAATTTTTTCTATATATATTAGTTGGCCAATTAACTTATTTCTATTTATAGTAGAGACGGGGTCTCGCTCTTGCTCAGGGTGGTTTCGACCTCCTGACCTCGAGCAATCCGCCGGCCTCGGCCTCCCAGAGTGCTAGGATTACAGGCGTGAGCCACCACGCCCAGCCGAGCATCTCATTTTATTAGAAACAGTTTGACCCTCTCGCTCTTGCTCAGGCTGGTTTTGAACTCCTGACCGTGAGCGATCCACCCACCTCAGCCTCCCAGAGTGCTAGGATTACAGGCGTGAGACACAGCGCCCGGCCAAAATGTCTCTTGAAACCCAGGCCACACAGCTCTTCCTTTCTCCTCATGAGTTAAGGAGAAAGGAGTTGTGGCTTTGGGAAGCCACAACTGACTTCCCAAATGCCCAAACATTCCTTGGTCGTGGAGGATTTTTCTAGACCCTGCCTCCTCCTAGCAAGTCTCGTATGAACCAATACAACCAGCTCATGCTTCAAGGCTACATTAGGGGTTCTTAATTTTTTCATGATCAAGGAATGCTTTCACATACTAAGACTTCCAGTGGATTCATTAACAAAAAGACTCAATCCGACACTGGATCCAACAATTCAGCAATCATTCCAAAGCCCATCACGGATAGCTGGTACCTCACAAGGGCTCAAAGTATCAGGCTTAGTACAGAAATCCTTTTAGCTCTGAGCCATTTTGTGATCTCTTGTATACTCCCAAGGCAGCAGTATATACATGATACTGCAACAATGTCCACACTCTCCAAGACGAGGAATTGTACACATCCATCAAAACTCGGTGGCCTCCCTGGGAAGGGATCCTAGCACAAATGGTGTGGTGAGGCACATGGTTTGAGAGCCACTAAGGAACTTAAACCTTTCTTTAGTAAGAAAGTACTCTTTGGAGTACTCTAGTACTCCAGCACTCCAAAGTACTATATTATGGGAAAATGATTTTTAGGACCTTCATTTAAAACAAATAAATCTGGGGGGGGGGAAATCATTTAGTAAAGGATTGTATCTGGCTGCCCCCACCTGCCTGGGTTAAAAAGAAGAGGCGATTTGCTGAGCCCCATTCTTACCTCCTCCAGAGCCCACAAGGAGTCCACCACCGGCTTGATCTTCTTCTGGTTGTAGAGCCCTAGGAGTTTGTCCACCACTCCTCGAATGAGGCCCGCCCGGCCCTGTTTGAAGAGCAGATTTAACAGGGAAAAGCCCGCGATGACTTTGTTCTCTTCGTACAGCTTGATGGGGTTCACTTTCTCCACCTGCCACCACTGCAAGGAGAGATGGCGCTGCGTTAGAGGGACCCAACAGTGGGCTGTGTTTGCAGCATCGCCAGCATTGTCGGCTGTCCAGGGAGTGTGGGGCCACAGCTGAGCAGATTCCAGCTGGCTGAGGGGTAGCTCTTGGTGGTGGGTTTTTTTTTTTTGCTTTTATTTTGAGACAGGGTTTCACTCCCGTTGCCCAGGCTAGAGTGCCGTGGCATCAGCCTAGCTCACAGCAACCTCAAACTCCTGGGCTAAAGCGATCCTCTTGCCTCAGCCTCCTGAGTAGCTGAGACTACAGGCATGCCCAGCTAATTTTTACTATTAGTAGAGATGGGGTCTCATTCTTGCTCAGGCTGGTCTCGAACTCCCAAGCTCAAATTACCTTCTCACCTTGGCCTCCCAGCGTGCCAGGATTACAGCACGTGAGCCACCGCGCCAGGCTTTGGTGGTGTGTTTTTTAAAGCATCTATTTCCCTAGACACTGCTGCAAGTGTGCAGGAAACAACACACAGTGATGCTTGTGAGAAGCGCGGGGTCTAGGTAGGGGAGAGAGTCCAAAACCAATGACTAAAAGGCCACATGTAGTTGAAACACGGTTAGGATCGTCGGCTCTGGAGTTGAATCCTGGCTCTACCATGAACTCCCTAGTGTTCTCTGGGCTTCATTTTTCTCAACTGACCCCCATGGCAGGATATGGCCTCTGATGTTTCTGGGAGAGTGAAGCATAGAGCACTTGGCGAACGGTGGTGGTGGGGACGGGTTGGTGAAGGGTTAGGATGGCAGAGACGTTTACCAAGTGTGGTGGGGGCACAGTGGAGGGAGGTGGCCACGCTGACCGCAGGAGCAGCTTTCCTGGGGAGAGAATAGATAATGGCCAGGCTAAACCCAGAAAGGTGAGCAGGGATCCAACAGACAAAGAAGGGAAAGGAAGGGTAATTTAGAAGGAAGGAACAGCATGAAGGAGTAATGAAGCCAAAGTGTTGGGACTGAACCAGTGGTTCTCAACTGGGGGCAGTTGTGCCCCCCAGAGGACATTTGGTAATGTCTGGGGATATTTTTGGTTGAGATGACTGAAGGGGGCAATGCCCCTACTGGCAGAGATGCTGCTAAACATCCTACAACTCTAGGGACAAGCTGCACAACAAAGCATTATCCAGCCCAAGTTATCAACAGCACTAAGGTTGAGAAGCCCTGGGTGGAAGACACCCAGCCGGTAAATGTGGTTGTCCCTTTTCCAGCCTCTCATCCCCCACCTTCAGACACCAAGATAAGTAAATAATCCATCGGCAACCTATGGAACTGGTTAGCCAATTGCTTTGTTCTGATTTTTTTTTTTTTGCTTTGTTCTGATTTAATTGCTTTTCCTTTGGTGCTGGTTATAGATTAGAAATTCAAACTTCCAATTCCTGAAGGGTTCTAAGAGGTAAAATGTTTGATCTCAGTCTCAATATAGAATGCCAAAAGGAACGTGATGGGCACTAAGGGTTATGATGTTTATGTTATTAATGTGCATATATATATATATATATATATACACACATATATATATATATCCTGTCTCTTTCCAAAGAGAATCAAAAGGCCTCCTCAAAGTAAAAGCTTTTGTTTGTGTGTTTGTTTTAAATTGGGAAACTCAGGAAAATAAGTGTGGGAAAGATGAAAACAACGATGAAGTTCATACACAAAATTCTTTACTAAAGTACATTTAGTAAAGGCCTGGGGGCTGGCTCGAGAACAGCCATGCATTTGACCATGGGGTTCCTGGCACAAAACAAAAGTAAAAAAATAATTAATAACTTGATTCCCAGTGTATCTGCGACGCCTAAATGTGTGTTTATGGAATGAATGCTTGCTGAATTTACAATTGCTGCACAGTTGTAGTTAAGAGAGTTCCAGAGCTGAATGCCTGGTTTTGAATCCCACCTCTGTTACCCACTAGCTGTGTGACTTTAGGCAAGTCACTTAACATCTCTGTGCTCAGTTGCCTCACTGTACCTCATTGGGAGGGGGGATGTGAGGAGTAAATGTGTTAATGCATAAAAGGTGCTTGGAACAGTGTCTGTCATGTCCAAAGTGATGTATAAACATAAGCCATTTTTATTATTTTAATTTGAAAGGGATGTTTTTGAGTGAGTGAAGAAGAGCTCCGATTTGGAGTCAGACTGCTCCCTAAATGTTAACTTCCCCTTAGTGTCATCATCACTGTGGCTCGAAGCCGATGGCATGTTTGACAAAGAGTGAAGTACAAGTTCTGCAGCAGCTTTAAGATGAAACAAAAGTAATACAGATAAGTGAAAAAAAAAATCTATGTACGATTCCAATACACCTTTAATTTCTAAGTCTTTCTTGAGTGTACTGAAAAAAAAATTGTTTTCTAGAACCTTCCAGATCAGTCATCATTCCATTTCTTGGCATCCCCTTTCTTCAATTTTCTTCTAACCGACCGACTAATTTTTGACCAGGCCTCTGAAAGGGAACATCTTCCCTCTGGACCCCCAGCTACAAAGCGTTCCGGTAATGGGCACCCCTGTTTCGGGCAGAGAATCTCAGTCGCCACACTGGCTGTCTTTTATGAATGCCTTCGCTGAGCTTGGAATTCACTGCAATTGCTTCATTAACGCTATGTGTTGGGATTGTGCATTGAGTGGGAGAAAGGGAAAACACTTTTATGATACAATTGTGTGTGATTTGGGATCAGCGTGGTTACCCACAGCAGTCTGCCAGCAGCCACGGCCCAGAACAGCTGCGAGTGGCACGAAGCCCGTCTTCAGGGGAGATACTCTAGACTGCATCTGTCGTTAGGCTCCAGTCTTGCTCCTCTGTAGACTCTGCAGTCGAGATGATCCTTGACCCAGGCCTTAAAGCTCACATGCAAAGAGAGTCCCTTTGATTCGACTCTCACAAGTGCAGGGAGCGTGATCCGTTCAGAGTCAGGGAATGTTTGGGGGTGAAGTTTCAAGCAGCCAGTATCGGCACTTCAGGGGCATATGAATACTTACAATGAATTCTAACCCCTCACCATGGATTCCCCTGACCACCCTATTCTAAGTTCCTCCACCCTATCCCACTGTTTTCTATTTTTTAGCACCCTGATTTTGCCCACTTCAGAGGTTCCATAGCTATGGGCAACCACGTTATTAGTATGTCTTTCTTATTTTGGGTTTCTCTTTCCCATTAGAATATAAGGGCCACAAAGGTCAAAAGTGCACCTATCTTAATTAGCTGTGTAACTAAAAGTAGAAAAAATTAGCCAGGCACAATGATGTGCACCTGTAGTCCCAGCTACTTGGGAGGCTGAGGCAGGAGGATTGCCTAAGCCCAGGAGTTCGAAGTTGCCGTGAGCTAGGCTGATGCCATGGCACTCTAGCTGGGAAAACAGAGTGGACTCTGTCTCGCAACAAAAAAACTTTGCTAAAATTTTTTTTTTAAATACACTTATCCCATTCCCTGTGATATCCCAGGACCTGGCACAGTGCCACAAATAGCAGGTGCTGGGAAAATGCTTGTCAAGCGTGCAGATCAGTCAATGCTGAACCACCTTCAAAGGAGGCCAAGAGCAGAGGGGCAAGCAACAGGCACTTTTGAGAAGCAGCAATCCCCTGTTGAGGTGGGTGGGGTAAAAACCAAAGCTCAAGCCCACATTCATTTAATTCTAGCCAGGGCAGCTCCAGATGGGAATAAAGATATGAGTCAGTTTGCGGTGGGGTAAACGCCCAGGCATGTGGCTTCTCAATAGCAGAGAAGTAGTGACCACATTCACAGCGTGATCACCTAACACAGGGGTTCACAAACCTGTCTGTGTCTAAAAATCACCCCATGAGCTTGTTAAAGTCATAGAGTCCCCATTCATAGCTCCCACTCAGTGGGATGGGACATAGAAAGTCTCAAGTCTCCCCAGGGACCTGGTCAGAAAGTGGCCAAACTGAAAGGCTGGCCTCTCTATGGAGCAGATAAATATTACTAAGGCCAAGTTCATTTTTGATTCATGATCAAAAACACCAACACATGAGCCATCTGTGCTGAAATCAAAACGAAGCTCTCTTGAGTTTTGCTGATACTCCTGCCACTCTGCTTCGTTTATGGGACAGAAGTAGCCCAAAGTCCTGGTCCAGCCCATGAGCAGTGAGCAGAGCAGGAAGGTGGGCTTTATTGACACTGAGTGATGCAAATGAAGGATAAAAAAGATTAGGTCAATGTCTTGTGACTGAGTGGGGGGAAGGGCTCATGACATGCAAATCCAAGCAGTACCCCAATATGTACATCAGACGTGCACAGATACTTACTGATTTTGCAAAGCTAAAGAAGCTCTTGGTCTCTCCAGTTACCATGTTGGATGAACCTGCAAATGGAAGATTCCCAAATCAAGCCACGCTAACGAAAACCAACATCTCTTGGTTAAAAAAATAGTGGCAGTGGTTTGGTCCAGAACTGGCAAGAACTTGAAAACAAATTTAATATTTTCCACCTGGGCCACTTCCTGTGGATCAAGTCCTTTAATGGTTCTACTCATATTAGTGACCACATTGGCTGGGCCTCATTGGATCCCACTTGAAATGACACAATATAGAGTGGTAGGCACACCTGTTATTTGACAACTCGCAGCAATAGAAATATTACAGAAAACATTAAACACCCCCAAACCCACTTCCCCAGCATAGCAACACATTTCACTTTTTAGAGCCTCTGTCTAAAGACACACATGCAACATTCCCTGCCACTAACCGCGTCCCTGCGGTCCTTGAGCACTCACCATATAAAATGTAGGTTCCCAGGGGTTTGAGAAGACTGAGACCTTTCCCGGTGTTGTCCCCGCAGAGGCAATCTAAAACGATGTCCACACCTTCAGCAGAGATCCTATATGAGAACACAAAGCCAAAGCCTGTCACCTCTCAGGAACCAAACTATTGATCCATTTCCATTCCTTGCCATATTGTTTGACTACTAAGAAGCAGGGAATGGGAGAGTTCCAGGAGCAGCAAGAAATAGGGGGGCAGGAGCCCAGGAGATAGAGTTTCCTCCTGGGTCCATCTACAGGAATTTCCCAGAGCTGGAGGCTGTTGAGAATTTGGCAGGTGGAGAAGTGAACATGTTCCTTCAGGCAAGAGCTTCAAGATGGAAAAGCACTCTACCACCCCCATTCCATCATTGCAAGCCCCGCAAATGGACCATACTGAATCGGACTCAGTTGGGTCTATTTAAGATGTCCCAGGTTCCATCAGCAGCCATGGGACTAGCTCTGCCTGGTTCACGCTCATGTGGAAAAGCACCACTGCAGTCCTTTTTAGTGAAATAATCATGACAGTCACCTGCAGAGGCACAAGGACCATTCTCATTCCTCCCCACTCCAATTTCTGGGGGTGTCCACCCTGCCACATAGGTACGTATGATAATTACACAAAGCAGAGAGGGTGGGAGTGGAGGCTCCATGCAGCAGTTCCTATGGGCACTGTCTCCTGCTGACATAAATCTCTGCGGATTTAAAAAGCTAACACACATAGCCCAAGCTTGGGGAGTCTCACTCAGCAGCAAGATATTTTGGAGTTGCTGATTCAAGACCTTCGTGTCTGTCCTTCCTGTGTTCCCTTAGTCCCTTGACTGTGAACACGGTCTCTCTTCTTCCTACCCACACGGGACAGGGAAGGACTTCTCTTGAGTGGGGGTAGGTTCCGGCAGAGCCAGTACTGGGAGAGACACCCTTGGACCTTGCCAAGACCCGCACTCCCCTGCACTGCGACTTGCATATCCAGCGGGTCCTTGGCCCTTCACGCAGTTTCTCCTGCTGAAAACTCATCTGTGCCACAGCTTTAACTGTCACTGCAGGAGATGGCTTCAGAGTGCCTGGCACACAGTAGGGTTCTCACAGAGGGCTTGGACACGGCAGCCTGGCTTGCTCTCTGGCCCAGGGGCACGCCACCCCCGCTGCCTTTCCGACAGTGAGTGTGGGTGCTAGAAAGACCACAAACTCTGCAACCGGAACCAGCTCGGGTTGAGTCTGGCCATGTGTGTGTCTGCGTGACACTTACTTATAACCAAGCTGCACCTTGCCTCCCACCTCTGAAAAATAAGGACAACATCTGCTTCATAAAATTTGCACAGCCTGGAAGCAGCTCATGCATATTCTTTTGGCTTTCATTTAGACGGTGCTCACCTGTGCTCCCTGGTGCCCTGTACCCCCCACCTCGTGCTAACCCCACTGTTGTCTTGCAATTGCTCATTTAACTGTCCCCACTAGTTTGGACACTTCAGGTCCCAGGGACATGCTCATCTTGCTCACCCTTGCATCTTTGTAGTCCTCATGCAAGCATCGATTACTTGAATGGTCCTCGATTTCCAGTGGCTTAATGTAACGATTTTTCAGCTTTATGATAGCACCCACCCCACCGTTCTGTTTTCCACTCTAGGTATTTTATTTAATAAACCAAGCGGAGTTTTGCAGAGCAGAAAGTTCATAGAATCACACACCTCTGAGGCCAAATATGATGCTAAGTCTCAATTTCCTTATCTATATAATGAGGAATTTTTGCCTTGTGGGATTGTCTGAGATGCACGTAAAATGGTCTAATGGAACTCTCAGCAGGGTGGCATGAGACCAACAAAGAGCGGCTGCTGTTATCCACCTCGCTCCAGCCCAGCTTCCCTTGTCTGGGACTCTCTTCCACTTCGCTCTATTACAGGAATTGTTCTCACTCTTCAAATGCCACCTGGGGCCTGTCCACTTGACACACTCTCTCTGATCTTCCTCTTTTCTCTGCTTCTAAAGCCCTGGCAGTCCGGTGCACACGACTCAAGGTTTCCAGTTCTTTTGCTTGGTTTCCCTCGTAGTCGTCTCTCTCCTCCCAAACAGAGAGATGGTAACTGATACAAAGGGTAGGTCTGGATCACAAATATTTTTTCTCTATTCCCTTTACAACACCTGGCTCAAGGCTGCAGATGAATTCAAAAGAGGCTTACCGATTGACTGCTTTATAAAAGAGTTTTCATCTCAAGAAATTTTAGATTATTATTTTTTTCTAGTTCATCATACATGTAATATTGTAACAGTATCTGTGATCAAAAAGCAAAGAGAAATCACTCTGCATTCCATTCCTGTTGCATGTGAGCGGGTGGATATTTTCCCTTTCCTTTCTCTTGATGTCTCTATGCACTGAGCATTTGTACAAAACTGTGATCACAGCCTGGATGGAATTTGGCATTCTGCTTTTTTTCCCTCAATATGCTGCCATGGGCAGTTTTCATTTTGTGCTAGAGTCTTCATAATTCTCATTTTCTTTTAGGGGCTGCACGATACTCAAGTTTGTGGGTGTACACTGAACTGTTTCCTTTTTGTGGATCGTGGAAGCTGGTTCCGAATTTCCACTCTTACAGACGATGCTATAATTCACCCTGTTGACATCTGCTGAGCCCTTACAATGAGGCGGAAGCAGTGCTTGGCTCTGTAGCCGGCGTCTTTGTACCTACAGATTTTCTCTTCCTCTGGATTATTGCCTGAGGGTGGGATGGCTGGGACAGAAGGAAGTATGGACATGTTTGTGGCTGCCCCATCATTTTTAGTCTAATCCCAGAGTCTGTACTTCAATGCACAATAACTGTTGGAAGTCTCGCTGCAGGCAGGTGGTGGCGAGTAGGGTCTTGGAGACTGTCGTCTTCTACTCTTCTGACATCAGCAGAAATCATTGGTTCAGGGGCAAAGGTGGCAGGTCCAGGACAGTGAGGACATGAGGGGATAGGGTGGCAGGAGTTCCCTTGGTCATGGGCTTTTTCAGAAGAGCTGCCATCTCTAGATCCCTTTCTCTTCACACTCCCCACATCCTACCACTTCCAGCTGCTCTGGTCTCCTTTCAGATTCTTAAATATACCAAGCTGTTACCGGAACCTTAGCACATGGCATTCTCCCTAGTTGGAAATGCTCTTCCCCTGGCCAACTTCTCACCCCCACCCCCCAACTCTCAACATCCCACTGTGTGATTCACGACGTTTCTGATTTCCCCATTGGCAAATGTTCGCTAGCACCTTGCATGTTTCCACCAGAGCACATACCAAAAGTGTGAATCAGTGAATTCTCATTATAGTTTTATTTTTGTCCCCTCCCCTCCAATTAGACTGTAAGCTCTGTGAGGACAGTGACTCTCAAGGGTCCCTATTGCTGGATCCCCCACCCTGGCACAGCCCCTAGCCCTTCAGAGACACTGAGAACATATTTATTGAGCAGACACTGAGCACGTATTTATTTATGCTTGCAAATATAGCATTGAAGGCGTGAAAGAATGATAACTGAAAGGGATAGTGGTAGTTCATTTTCCAGAACACAGCTTGAGAGATGGGAGTTAAAGGCAGGAAGGGCTGCCCGAGAGCCACGGAACTGGGCAAGTGGGTGTCTTCAAAATGAGCCTGCATCTGAGAAGCAGAGAGTGAACTTCTCATCCCTAGCTTTAAAGCTCTCCTTTCATCTCCTGCTGGAACTATGGGGACGACTTTAAAAAATATATAAATCTCTACATTCAACATTTTAAAACAAATGTGAAAATTCAGACCATCAGAAGATCCTTTTTTTCCAAGAAACTTGACAAGTTTCACCAAATCTGTTCTAAATCTACCACCTCAAAAACCAAGCTCTCCCATTCACTTGCCATTCAGTTTTCCATCCAAATCTGTGATTTGGAGAAAAGTGTTTCTTTATCACGAAGCATCCGGGCAATTTAATATGTCTTTGTACCTTATAATTTAGTGCGAGAAAGTGAAAATGCTGAAACAATGGCTCTGGACCGTCTCTGCATCTCCCCAGGAGCTGTGAGCAGAGTGGACCCTGTGAGTAGCCCGCAAATCACCTACAACCTGGTGGAGCTGCACTTTCCATCTGATTCCGCGTGTTGACACACACATGGCCACCATCAACAGCTTTAGGGTCCCAGGTTATAAGCCAACATTCCCAGTATCTGACCTTCTAGCCCCAGAATCCCCCTCTCATCCAGTCTGTCCACACCCCTGGGGATTGTTCAAAGCCCACATTGGATTGTGTTACCACTTTGGTCCTTTGGTGGCTCTCAGTCACATTTCCTAGCTTGGTGTGTGTGGTCTTCATGCGCTTCTGACACCAGTCTCCTGCCCAGCCTCACCTCATGCCCCACCCACCCTTCCCTCCACAGGTACCCCTTTGCTAATACCTGTGCTTAGAGCAGATAACCAGATATCCCTGGACTTGAATCCCATTAAGATTTCTTGCAGTTCTCTCAGCCTCTGAGGCAAGTCTATTCCTCAGGATGCACAATATATCCCTTCTTCCCAGCTCCTTTCTTCCTATGGGGAACTTCAGCTCATGCCTCACTCTTTAGGAGCTATCTGTATAGCAAAAGTGTGGGCCCCAAAGTCGGAATGCCTGGTTTGACCCCAAGGACCACCCTTTACTACCTGTGCCACGCCTGCCAGGCACACAGCTTGGCAACATTTCCCAATTCACTTTCAGTAAGATGTGGCCAAGGACCTGAGTACGAGCACTAGAATATGAGCACGGTGGATGTTCCTTCTGGGACTGGCCTCGAAAATCCTCCCATTCATGACCCTTCAGCGCTCTCTCCCTTTCTGCCAGCTAGAAGCAAAGGACCATAAGACCCAAGACAAGGGCGGAACCACAAGATGGAAAGAGCCTGGGTCCCTGAATGTCCTTATGGAAGATCATCCACCAGACATCCACTTTGTGCTGTCATGTGAATGAATGAGAAATAAGCCTCTATGTGTTCAGATGGTGTAATAGCAGCTAGCACGACTTTAATACATTAGCTTTGCAAGTTACTTAACTGCTTTGTTCCTTTGGAATAATAATAGAGGTGCTAAGAGGATTAAATGAGCTAATACATGTGAAGTATTCAGCACAAAGCCAGTAATACTAAGTCCTCAGTATGTTTGTTATTATCACTATTATCATCATTATCCCCCCTTTATAGGAATGCTACTATTCATTGAGAGAAGAGCAAGGGCCAATCCAGTGCTCTGTAGCACAGACACTTTACCTTTTTACTTCTTGCACATAGTCTGCATTTCTGTCGAAGAGGTGGGTCACGGAGTCTTTGATTGCTTCATGCTTGAAAGTAGAAGCTGTTCCAAAGACAGTCACGTTGGGGACAGTGGAACACAACTGAGCCACAGCTTGGCCCTGGAAGTGAAAGACAACAGAAAAGTCACACGTGACAGCCACCAACTAACATCCAGTCCTGCTGGGGGTAGAGTGGGATTTCTCAACTGGTGCTATTGGACTTTTCAGGTTGGATTAGTCTTTGTTGTAAGAGGGCTAAACTGTGCACTGTCAGATGTTTAGCAGCATCCCTGGTCTCTACCTGCCAGATGCAAGTAGCAGCCCCCATTGCGACAACCAAAAATGCATCCAGACATTACCAAATGCCCCCCAGGAAACAAAAACTCCCTTGAATGAGAATCACTGATGTAGAGAAAAGTGAATGGGAGTCAGACAAACTCAGCACCAAGACTTAGCAACTGTTATTTAACCGCAATGAGTTGCAAATTGGCAATAATGTTACCTACTCCATAGAGATCTTGGGGGATGTCTCAGTTTGGAAAAGGCCCTGAGACAAAGATTTGAATGTAACTACTTTATTTGGAAGATGATTTCAGGAAATAGCATGGTGGTAAGACAGAAAAAGGCCAGGTGTGGTGGTTCATGCCTATCATCCTAGCCCTTTTGGAGGCTGAGGAGAGTGGATCACTTGAGGCCAGGAGTTTGAGACCAGACTGATGGCACATGCCTATAGTCCCAGCTACTTAGGAGGTTGAGGCAGGAGGATTACTTGAGCCCAGGAGTTTGAGGTTGCAGTGAGCTATGATGACACCACTATACTTTAGCCCAGGCAACAGAATGAGACCCTGTCTCAGGAAAAAAAAAAAAAAAAAAGAAAAAGAAAAAGAAGACAACCAATAAAGGATGTGTCACCAAAACCATATCTACCATGGACAACTGGAGCTCAACTGGAGCTCAACTGGAGCTCCGATTTATGCCAACGAAGGGGTGAGGAAGCTGGTGTATTTATCCACCAAATTTCCATCTGCTACTCGTTCAGTGCTGCTTCTGCAGTAGGAATTCTTATGCCCATCCGGCTTGTTCTCGTGGGCTGAGTGTGGTCCCACAGCCAGGCAGAAGCCCTCTGTGAGCAGCCTTCAGCAGGCTGAGTTGAGAGCAGAGAAGCTGTGGTGTGGCTGACAGCATCTGCTCCAGGGAGCAGCGTTAAGTGAGGTATTACATAACACGGGTCAAGGACCTGGCACAAAATGTGACACTAAATAGATGTCCAATAAATCCTAATTATCTTTCTCCCTTAGGGCTTATTACATTCAGGGCTGAGATGTCCAGACATAGAAAGAAAAGGTCAACATGAGTTTTAAATATGAAATGGTCCAGGGGAAATCACAAATGCCATCAGGAGTGGGTGATTTTCCATATCCCCCCCCTTCCATGTGGTTGAAATTTAAGTCATTGGACAAAATACCATGATCACATGCGTTCCGAAACCTTCCAGTAAAACCCAATTTCCTTGATAATGAAGACGCATTCTAAAACCGAGCTCTGTCTCTTTCTAATGTCCCAGCTGCCATTTTGAAGGAGGGAAATTATTCTACCGAAGTCATCTGTGATATTTAATTCCTGCCCGTCATCCTGTTTTCATGCCTTCACGCTGGCGGACTAAATTGGGGTGGCAGGTCAATTTATGGAAATGTTATCTTATGACTAGTTGCAATTAAAGGCAAAATTGAGAGAATGTCAGAGTTGAAAGATCATCCAAATACCACTTCCCCATGACTGTTTATAGACGAAGGAAGGGAGACCCAGAAAGGTTGAGGTCATCCACCTTTTCGGAGGCAGTTCTAGAATTCAAAAGAAGGTCTCCTGGCTCCCAGTCATTGCTATTTTTCTATTAGGCCACCCTGTCTACTTATTTTGACATTTGAAGCTGAGTAGACTTTAAGGTTACTACCTAAAATAGCCATGCTACCGGCACACTCACTTGCAGGTCAGTATTTCAGAACTCGGGCATGCACCTAAGACTCTCGACAGGCCTTAGTTCTCTGTTACAAGAATAGCTTTGATGTTTAATTTTTCCCCCCAGAATTTACAGAACAAAGAAGGAACTATCCTTCCCATTGAGGATAAATATTAGCAACCAACAGAACAATTCTCTAAAATTCACTGGCCTCAGATATGCCACCGTGACATTTCTGTGTTACTAGGATTTGCACTAACCTCCTCAGTAGTGGGATGGGAAATTCGAATTGGTTCCAATATCCTTGTAGTCCCTCCTGCCCTCTGTCCTTAGGCAAACACAACATTTATTCATTCAACTAGTTTTCAAATTTCCATTACATACTAGCCAGGCTGTGCTGTAGATGTCAGTGTCAGAAATGATGAGCACGTGTTCATCTCTAGTCCCCAGGTGCCCACTGAATCCTGGACCTGCATCTCTGACTACCATTTTGGCGTTTTTGTCTCCACCTGGCTGTCTCAAAGCCACCAGTCAAACTCACCTGATCCCAGACATAACTCATGGCCATCTCCGAACCAGTTACTCCTGGTGTTAGTTTGCTAGGACTTCTATAACAGAGTTCCTAGATAGGGTGGCTTAAGTATCAGAACTCTTTTCTCATGGTTCTGAAGGCTCAAAGTCCACAATCAAGTGTTGGCATGGTTGGTTCTTTCCGAGAGCTATGATGGAAGAAGGGTCTGTCCCCAGCTTGTAGGTGGCCATATTCTCCCTGTGTCTCTTCCTATCATCATCTCTCTGTGATAATCTGTGTCCAAATTTTGTGGATTAGGGCTCACCCTAATGACCTCACTTTAACTTGATCACCTGTAAAGACCCTATTTCCAACTAGAGTTGCATCCTGAGGTACTGGGGATTAGGACTTCAACATATGCATTTCAGCAGGGATGCAATTCAGCCCATAACATTCCTTTTACTGTATCCCCTGCTTCAGGGGGTTGGGACTGCACCCTTCACTCATTGCTAAACCCAGGAATCTGGGCCACCCTGGGCCTTCCTCCCTCATCCAATTAGTCAGCAGTTGCATTATTTATTTCTCCTCAGCATCCCTTGTAACTGTCCCTTCCCAGCCTGGATCATCTTGTTTCCTCCCCTGGATTGTGACAACTCTCTTCTAACTGGCTGGCCTGTTTCCACGTGTCTTCCTGTGGTCACAGTGATTTTTCTCAAACACAACACAGAGAATTTCACCTTTTGTTTCAAAACTTTCAATGACAAGCACAGCATTCAGAAGAAAATGCACACCCTTTTGTTTATCACCCAAGCCCAGTCCTCCTTGATCTGAGACCCTGTCTGCCTCATTCATGTCCTTCCACTTTTCCAATACTCGAGCCACCACTTGTCAACATTTGCCACCAGTGTGGCAGTGTGTTAGCTCTCATCTGTGGCCTTCTCAGAATGAGCCTGGGTCAGGGCCATTAGAGTAACAAGTGGCCTTGATCTTAGGAGCTTGGCATGCTTCACTCCTGGCTGCTGCACTCACCACCTGAGCAATATGTTGGCACCTCTGTTCACTCAAACAGGTGGACAATAATACTATATACAGGATAGGTTTGTTGCGGTGTTATATGATACAATGCATCAAACAGCTTGGAACAGTGAATGCTCAATAAATATCTGACATTAGCTATCATTGCTACTAAGACTACTCGTCCTATTTCTCTTGGTCTTACTCCATCGGCAGTAGTACCACACCCGCCATTCTGCCATCAGCTCCCGAGAGGTGGTGTTATTTTCAGCATCCATGCCAGTTTCCTTGCATGCTTTTCCACCACTTGTCATGCCTTCCCTGCCTCTCTCTTCTTCAGATCAGAGTCACTCCCTGTCTAGCATCTCCCCCAGGAATCCTTTCCAGCGTCCCAGACAGAGTCGGTTGCCCTCTTCTGTGCCCCCATTGACCTTTGGTTCCCTCCTCTAGGATGGTGGCCACCACAGTCTTCTCTGGCTACTGCCTGACCATGTGTGAGCTCCGTGAGGACAGGGACTGTGTCTCCCTGGCTCTCTGCCCCAGGGCCCATACAGAGACTGGTACATAGCAGGTGTTTAGTGAAACTGGTGGGATGGATGCATGAGGAACTAGAGGAGCTCAGTGTATTGGGGCATCACTCCCCCATCATTTTGCAGCCTTCATGTCCTTTAGTGTGGTAGAGCTGGAATAAAGCATAGATTTAATCAATGTATGTAGGCTCTGACCCAAGCAAAACTTTACCATTTCCATTTTAAAGAGAAAGATATTCATGATTTAAAAAATGAGATTATACAAGTAATCCAGGCTACTTATCTATTTACATTCTTATATGACATATATGAGTATTATATATAATAATTTATAAGTATAGCATATATAACATAATTGTAGACAATTAGAATAATGTATAATTAGCATTATATAGGTACTGGTACTACATGTATATTTGAATAATTAGTATTATATACATAAATAATGTTAGTATATGATATTTAATTAGTAACATAGAATTAGAATTATATTAGTAATAACATAAGTAGTATGCTATATAAGTGTTATGTATATTATATAATTTATATTGCTGTATAAATATTAATGAGTGGAAAACACAAATTCAGTACGCATCTATGTGCAGCCTTTCAGTTCTCCATCAACTCACTTAGGGAAGGGGAGGCCCTTATAAGATCCTCAATGATTTTTTTTTAAAGGAAATCATACTCAGTATTCTATATGTAAGCAGAAAAGTGCTTTCCCTCACATTTATGGAAAACCTGTACTCTCCTTTCTCCACCTTGCAAGGTGAGTGCAAGGATTAGCATCTCATTTATCCTCGTTTCTCCTGCATGCCTAGCAAATAGTGTGGACTCAATAAACATTTGTGGAAGCCAGAATGATCTTTCAATAAGAAGGACTTTGCAATTTATCTCTGGACCCAGAACATAAAATGAACAAGACGATCCATTCTCTCAGTAACTGCAGTAAATGGAGATTTGCATTCACTTGTTTTTCATTGACTTCCCTTCCTGCTTTTGAATGTAAGAACGCTCCACCAGCTTCACCAGCCTCACCAGCCTCCAGCTCTCTTCCCTGGGGCTGGCAACACAGCAGTAATAGCAGCTGCTGTCCTTGCTTCCTTTT